GAGAAGAGAGAGAGAGAGAGAGAGAGAAAGAAAGAAAGGAAAGGCGAAGAGTTTTGATTTCTGTCGATTGCAAGGTAAAGTCTCTTTCCATCTAGAATTAGATTAGGGTTTCTACTTCTTGCATCAATTGATTTTTGTTTTCCTAGCTCTTATGTGATGAATTTTGGCCTCCAGAAAAAAAAAAAAAAAAAAAAATTTGTTTTAGGGCTTTCAGCCTCCCCAATTGCCTCCATCTCTGTCTAGTTCTGCCACCCCTCTCTCTTTGCAACTGCAAACTACAAAATCTACAAGAATCAGAAGTTCAAAACCCATATATTTTATCTATCTGTCTGCAAGAATCAAAAGTTCAAAACCTATTACCTATATCAAAACCCATATCAGTGTCATTTTAGATTGTTCAAAAAATCAAAACCCATATCTTTCAGTTTCCATCGCCCGCTGTTCCAGTTCGGGTTTGCCATTCGCAAGCTTCAGCCGTTGTCTCTCAACTCTCAAGCTTGCCCCTCTCTCTGTGCAATCGTTAACTTGTATGTATGGGTTTTGTTTTAATTTTTTTTTTTTCTAAATTAACTAATCAAGGTCTGTAATTCTTGTTTTGCACACTAAATCCCATTTGGTGAATTTTTTTTTTAATTTTTTTGATCTTTTTTATATAATTTTTTTTTTTTAGAATCTGGATTGGATTGAATTGGATTAGAAATCTGAAGAGATTGAATCTGAAACAATTTTTATAAACATGCCAATCTTTTTGAAGATGGAAATGTTTTCAGAACTAAAATAAAAGTCATAACAAGAACTTTGACAGGCAAAAGTATTTAATATAGGGTAAAGCTCTAAAGTTACTTCTTGAAAATTAAACTTACAAAAAGTATGCTTTTGAGTGAATTCCATAGTGTTGGAAGGGGCTTGCCATGAACTATCTCACACTCTGCTTCCACTAGTAGATTCTCAAATAGGATTAGTAAATTGGTTGAAAGAAGAGATAAGGTACTGAGTGCTGAATTGTTCAGAAATAAATTGGTAATTTTTTTTATTAATTACCCAAATAGGATTTTCTATGTCTTAATCAGTCAATTGTCTAAAGAAATATTGTTAGTTAACTAAAATTGAATTAAACAACATATGATTTTGGTTGATATATTTTGATATAGCCCACCCCATTGAGAAATACAATCTGTGTTAAGATATTGATTTGTTAATTTTGAAGATTATTCCTAAACTGATGCATTGTACTTTGTTATTGGATTAATTTAACATAAGAGCTGAGTATAATATGTGCTTATCACACTTATCCGTAGTCACACCTCTTTCTACGGATAGGTGTCCAACATTTTGACCGAAAGCATTGTTGGGTTGGGTTGGGTTGATACATGATACCGATAGTACTCAGTACTTAGATGGTGGTGTTTTAATTGTTATGAGTGAGATTGTGAAACCTCTTCCTCACAACTTGAGTGTTCTCTTATTTTTAGGGTTAGCATCGGGCTTTAACATTTAGCAAGAATAAGGTTCAAGAAACATGCCTCCTCAGTCATCAGGTAACAAACTCTTACTTTTTCTAAAATTTTAATTGGCATTTTTAGCTATTGGTTACGTTTATTTATTCATGTTTTACATATTGATTTTTTGTTTTTGTTTTTATTTCTACATACATATATATAATATTGTTATGATGTGATGCTCGAACAATTTATTAATGGGAATTAAAGAAGTTAAGTTTTCAATTTCAGAATATATGTTTTACAAGTTTATTTACGCTTTTAAAACTTTCTCTCTTTTTTCCTAATAATATAGGTCTCTTTTCTAGAAAGAAGAAAGTTGATGGGAATGGGTGGAGTAGGGAAAAAGGAAATAGGTATGTTTTTTTGCCTAACTAATTGAATTATATATTTCTAAAAAATGAGAAGGCTAGGGAGACCAAGTTTTCTTCCTGGGCAGGCTCTTTCAATAGTGAAGTTTAAATAATGAACAGCCCACCAACCACCAACATCTCTGTTGTTATTGAGTTGTTTAGGGGCGATCAGAATAATGTTGTGAATGTATGCAATACATGATTTATCATGACATGGCAGTTGACCTCATTTTGTTTCATAATCAAATACCCTTCACCACCCTTACCACTTTATTCAGATTGAAATATATTATGTGAGGCAAATCTACAGATTATTATAATGGTCAGCGCACCTTCTGGTTCAGAGGTTTTTCTGAGTTGATTCTTGGAGAATTTGAGTGTAGGGCAGATATTGCAATTGATTGAGGGCACGGATGACAATTTAAATGAACTCCTGCTATCTTAGTTTCTTTTAATTTTTGCAAAATCTCAATTGAAAATATTCCATTCAAATATAGCATATATTGCAGTAGAGACCGGAAGAGCACTAGATTGAGCATATGTGAGGGTGACAATTTGCAGATTGAGCATATTAACCAATTCAATTTTCTATCTTCAGTTCTTAATTTTGCAATCTAAACCAATTCAATTTTCTCTATGTAAGTTACATGTTATAGTAATTCTTTGCTTGGAGACTTGGAATTGTTACCAAAGAAAACACACACACATATATATATATATATATATATTTTCTTCTTAATAGTTTACTAAGTGAAATTAAGCAAACTTTGGTCTAAAATGAAGTGGGTCTCATAGACAGTGAGTCTACAACCTGAGAGTAAATGAATGTAATATATCAAAATTGTGTCAGGTGAATGAAAAATTAGATACAAAATGATATATTTGATCATGGTTTGAAGAAATAAAAATAGGATGTTCCACATTGAAAGAATAAGGAAAAATGTGTGCCTTAATTATATGTGTTGTTCAAAGATGGTAAATGTGAACTTGATATGATAGTGAATGCTCTGGACCCACGTACTAATAATATATGAAAAAATTGTATGAAGCTTCCTTGATAGCCAGAAAATAATATAAAAAAATACTATATTTTCAAAAATACTATGTTATATATATATATATGTTATGTTATATATATATATATTTTATAACAATGTTTGATATATTACATTCATTTACTACTATAAAATGGTGGTGTCTCCAAGCAAACAATTGCTATAAAATATAGCTTACACAAATTAAAAAATATATATATTACACAAATAAAATTGGATTCAGACTTTTTAACTATAGTAGATATTATTATACTGCATATTTGTGTGAGTATAGTATTCTTTTTGTGTGCTTTTGAAAATATAGTATTTTTTTATATTATTTTCTGGCTATCAAGGAAGCTTCATACAATTTTTTTCATATATTATTAGTACGTGGGTCCAGAGCATTCACTATCATATCAAGTTCACATTTACCATCTTTGAACAATACATATAATTAAGGCACACATTTTTCCTTATTCTTATTCTTTCAATGCGGAACATCCTATTTTTATTTCTTTAAACCATGATCAAATATATCATTTTGTATCTAATTTTTCATTAACCTCACACAATTTTGATATATTACATTCATTTACTCTGAGATTGTAGACTCACTGTCTATGAGACCCACTTCATTTTAGACCAAAGTTTGCTTAATTTCACTTAGTAAATTATTAAGAATATATATATATATATATATATATATATATGTTTTCTTTGGTAACAACTCCAAGTCTCCAAGCAAAGAATTACTATAACATGTAAACTTACATAGAGAAAATTGAATTGGCTTACATTGCGAAATTGAGAACTGAAGATAGAAAATTGAATTGGTTAATATGCTCAATCTGCAAATTGTCACCCTCACATATGCTCAATCTAGTGCTCTTCCGGTGTCTGCCGCAATATATGCTATTGCTATATTTGAATGGAATATTTTCAATTGAGATTTTGCAAAAATTAAAAGAAACTAAGATAGCAGGAGTTCATTTAAATTGTCATCCGTGCCCTCAGTCAATTGGAAGGGGCTTGCCATGAACTACCTCACACTCTGCTTCCACTAGTAGATTCTCAAATAGGATTAGTAAATTGGTCAAAAGAAGAGATAGGGTACTGAGTGGTGAATTGTTCCGAAATAAATTGGTAATTTTTTTTTTATTAATTACCCAAATAGGATTTTCTATGCCTTAAATCAGTCAATTGTCTAAAGAAACATTGTTGGTTAACTAAAATTGAATGAAACAACAGTTGATTTTGGTTGACATATTTTGATTTAGCCCACTCCATTGAGAAATCCTGGATGTTTTGTTTAACATAGAAATACAATCTGTGTAATGCATGAAGGATATATTTAGTCTTTCTGCCATATTTTTATTTTCAAATTTTGGTTTTTGATTTTCTTTTGTTATTAGAATGCAGAATATTAGGATATTGATTTGTTAATTTTGAAGATTATTCCTAGATTGATGCATTGTACTTTGTTCTTGGATTAATTTAACATAAGAGCTGAGTATAATATGTGCTAATCACACTTATCACGTAATCACACCATTTTGATTGAAAGCATAGTTGGGTTGGGTTGATACATGATACAGATAGTACTTAGATGGTGGTGTTATAATTGTTAGGAGTGAGATTGTGAAAGCTCTTCTTCATAACTTGAGCGTTTTCTTATTTTTAGGGTTAGCGTGTAAAACCACTTCAACGTGAAATCATCAATTGGCATTTTGCTTCCTGCTGTGTAGAGCTCTCCAGAATTCTGCTTCCATTTAGACAGTTCTTAATTTTATCGGTTCTGTGGGGAAGTTTTATGAACGAGCAAGTTAGGTTGCATGGAGCCCTGCTAAGGGAGGTTGATTGTTCGAGCCCTTTTAGGGTAAATATTGTGGGTGTGTATGTGTTTGCTTGAACTTTCAAGAAAAATAAAAAAGTTAGGTTGCATGGAGGAATTATTGTGGGATAGGATTTTTTGACTTTATTCTGCTCTTCTTCAGTTCAGCCTAATATTATACTTTGAAATAGCTTGATCTTTATTCTGTAACCTTTCTAGGTATTATAAAATCTTGACCTGTAAGGTTGAACTGAATTAATTATGACATTATATCTTGTAGAATCTCGCGAGCCGATCTCTGGTGGAGGATGTCCTGAAGAAGGTTAATGGACTAAAACCAATTGCTGAGGAACTGGGGGTGCCTTTAGCTCAACTTGCCATTGCGTGGTGTGCAGCAAATCCTAATGTCTCATCTGTTATTACTGGTGCCACTAAGGAGTCTCAGGTCAGTTTTAACTCAATACGACACATTTCTTTAGTCTGCAGATTTTTGGATCACAAATATATGGTTTTTGTTTGATTTCAAAGTATAGGTTACTTTTTGTGTGTGTGGATCTTCCTGAATGGGTTGCGATCTCTTCTTTCTGCTTTCATTTATTTTTTCATTTGTTTGTCAGTTATCACAATAGAAAAGCATAATGTTTTTATTGCGTAATGTGGAATCTAGGAAATATTTCGTTTCGCTACTTTACTTACTCATTTGCAGTATCATAAAAGAACAATTATATCTTCTTTTCATCAAATAAAAAAATCACTGAAACATGTTGATAAAGACTGGAAATGAGTAGTCAACTGGAAGGGCAAAGAATAAACAGGGGAGGAAATTTCATGGGCAAGGTGATGAGAAAAAAAAATGAGGAACAAACAAATTGCAAAAACTAGGGAATGAAGAGATGATGGAGTTTGGTAAGAAAAAAAAAAACAGAGATAATGGGAGACGATAGGCACATTTATAATTTATGAGTACTGACAGCATTTATGCGCAAACTTGTGGATATTAGGAAGCGTGTAGGATTAAAAAAATTTTGTCAACTGATATCCTGGACAAATCTGTTTGCTCTACCCAAAAAATAATGATGCTAATACATTTGATTACATGAATGCTTATTGTAATAGTTAATAAATCAATTTGTTGTGCCGAATTGTTGACAAATTTTTACAGTAACTTTTTAGTAAAAAGAAATAAGGGTTCGTAATTTTTTGGAAAAGATGTGTATGTCAGGAGTAACATTGGAATAAAAAAAGATGGAAGTATAACTAGTGTGATTTGAATTAAGATTTTCAAGAATTTGAAAGACACATCGGGTTGAAATTGTGTAGGCACCAGCCAGTATACAGACATGCTGTTGCATGATATTTGAAGGGGCGTGCTTTGTTGTAAATAATGTGACATGATACTTACCTGTGTGATAAATGTGACTTGCCATAATGATGAGTGATGAAATATATTGTTACATCCTTCCTATCAGCCTAGCCGTTTAGAGTAATTGGCTGTTGACGTTATACATTGTCACATTAGTGTGATTTTGATGTCTCTTTGTAAGAAGCTGCCACCAATTATTCGGCTGTTTTTTTTTTTTTTTTTTTCCAACATTTCTGTTAATATCTCCCATTAAAGGCCGTGATTTTTAATAATGCAGATTCAAGAGAATATGAAGGCTGTTAATGTCATTCCAATGTTGACACCTGCTGTGATGGAGAAGATTGAGGCTGTTGTTCAAAGCAAACCAAAGTGTCCCGACTCGTATAGGTAAAACACAGGATGTAATTCCAATTTTAGCTTGCAGTGAATGTGGCTTTTTTGTACCATAATGCTGGGAGGACACACGATCCTAAAGGATGAAATATGTGTAATGGAATGACCCTAATTCAAGGTGCTTTTGGGGAAGGTTTTGAAAATTAGAGTCTTTATGAAAAATTGCCTTACTCAAGGTGCATTTAAAATGTGTTTTGAAAATGAAGCCCTCTTGTAAAAAGAGGGTTTCGAGTTTAAAATATGTTCGAGTAACGTTTATGAAAACAAGTGATTTTGGAATGAAAATAACCTCTAGAGTGATTTTTTAGTTTAATATGAATTTTGAGTTGAAAAGAGTAATTTATGTAAACTATTGTTTTGGAATGAAAATGACCTTTAGGATTTGTTTGTTTGACCGTAAAATATTTTGTGTTTTTTCTGGTTTTGGTTGTCCTAAAATTTTTAGGAAGAAAGAATTTATCAAAAAAAATTTATTCATCAGATTTTGATAAGCTATTTTACAAGCCACTTCCGATGAATTCAACTTAAGACTTTTGCCAAATATTGAAAAATAAAAAATAAAAAAATATTTTATTTGAAAAAAAGAAAATATATTTTGAGGAAAATGTTTTACGTTGAAAGAAATGGAGCCGTAGAGAGGGTTTTGAGTTAAAAATGAGTTTTTGGATTAAAAATACAGAGAGTAACATTTACAAAAATGAGTTTTTTTTGGAATGAGAATGACCTCTAGAGAGGGTTTTCAGAACAAAATGAGTAACTTTTGCGAAAACAGTGGTTTTCGAATAAAAATGACCTCAAGAGGGTGTTGGTCTTGGTCTAACAGAGGGTGTTTTGAGATGGAAATGATTTAAAAATGCATTTTGAATGTAAAATGATGAAAAACAAGTTTTGAGGATAAAAATGGTAATTTTTTAAATAGTGTATTTTAGAGTAGAGTGGTTTTTGCAAAAAAAATCACGAGGAGAAAATTTATGGAAGTGGATCATAGAAGGCTAGGAGAGATTTGAATGACATAAAAAACTAGAAAAAGAGGAAATGAGTTTTGAGAACAATACTCCTTTTGACATGATTTCGACTGAGTAAAAAGCCTGGAAAAATGTTGTTTTGAATTTAATAGTGATGATTTTGAACTAAAGAAAGTTACTCATACATTTCCCAATGAATATGGGTTAGTAACCACTCAAAGGATTAGTCATGATTTTCCTATATGACATATTAGTATAAGATTTGTTATATTTTAAATGTTACATTAAACATATATTTTTTAACAATTGAAAATTAAGTTTTTTATTTAAAAAGTGTGTTTAAAATATAGTTTTGAAAATGGTGATGATTTTGAACTTAAGAAAGTTGCCCACACATTTCCAAATGAAAATATGTAGGTAACACCTCAAAGGATCGAAATAACTCTACAATAATTATCTCTAGCATATAAAATTTTTGTTAGTATGATAAGAATATCATCTCGTTACAACAAGCATGCTTTTAAGTTTTTGAAAACGCATGAATGTATATGATTTTTAAAGAGTGAAAAGAGTCCATTTTAAAGCATGAATGCAAACAGAAGTATAAAATTTAAGATTTATCATAAAAGAAAACCTAAGGGGCACTAAAAATGTTTTAACATAGGTGAGTAAGTTGCTCATCTCAATTCCACTTCCGCATCTACCTTTGGTTTACTTGTATAAGAATTGTTACGAAGGGTTTAAAAAAGAGAAAATTATACTTAGGTGAAGTTAGGAGTTGTAAATAACAAAATGATTTATTTTAAAATTTCATTTTTTTATTTTGATTTAATTGAGCAAAATAATTACATATAATTGTTCAACTCCAAAATATCTTCCAGCGGGATCTTATTCTAAAATTACCAAATTAAAAGTGCTATTTTTCCTTTAAATTATTCCACTTAAAAGTTCTACAAACAAAAATTAGCATGTCAAACATGAATGCTTATTTTTTAATTAGCATGTGAATTCAATTTATAAATGAGTTAACTAGTGAACATGAACACAACAAATTTGAACGCAACAAATTTAATTAATATATTAATTCTTACCATCCAAATATAATTATAATTGAGAGCATTGAATTGACGGTTTGAATTTAAAATAAAAAAAAATTTAATTAAAATTTTAACTAAATTTTCTCCAACGAAACTCAAGGCATAGGAACAGGGACGTGTTTGAAATATTCTGTAGGACACGTGGCAGGTTTCTAATGTCGGATGAGCTTATAACTGGTATCTGGTGCTCAGTGTCGTTAACGTGAAGCCTAGGTACTACTGACTTGGTCTTACTTGCATGAGTGCTGACATGGCGACTGTATTAACATCAAAGTATCCCGAACACAGACGATCATTTCCTTTCCATGTTCCTTAAACTAAATTCCAAACTCCATTTTATAAGTTCATGCATGCAGTTGCAGATCCTCCTTATCATTCTCAACAACCCTCCACCCTCACAAAATACACACACTCTCTCTGCACTTTCTCTCTCTACATTTTCTCTCTCTAAAAATGCAGTACAACAACCTCGGCCGGTCGGGGCTCAAAGTGAGCCAACTCTCCTACGGCGCATGGGTCACCTTCGGCACCCAGCTCGACGTCAGCAACGCCAAATCGATCCTCCAATGCTGCCGAGACAACGGCGTGAACTTCTTCGACAACGCCGAGACCTATGCCAGCGGCCGAGCTGAGGAGATCATGGGCCAAGCCATCCGTGAGCTCGGCTGGAAGCGGTCGGACGTGGTGGTCTCGACCAAGATCTTCTGGGGCGGGGCTGGACCCAACAACTCGGGCTTGTCTCGGAAGCACATAATCGAAGGCACAAAGGCCTCGCTGAAGAGGCTGGACATGGAGTATGTGGATTTGATATATTGCCACCGACCGGATTTAGAGACTCCGATGGAAGAGACGGTGAGGGCCATGAATTACGTGATTGATCATGGGTGGGCTTTCTATTGGGGGACCAGTGAGTGGTCGGCCCAGCAGATCACAGAAGCGTGGGGTGTGGCTCGGAGATTGGATCTTATTGGGCCCATTGTGGAGCAACCCCAATACAATTTGTTTCATAGGCACAAGGTAAATCAGTTTTTGTGCTTACCCAAATGGGAAAGATATTAGTAAATGTGTTAGAATAGTCGGGACCAATGATCTGTGGACAATGTAATAATTTCTCCATTGATAGAAAGTGTGATGGCAGCAACGATGACGATGGTGGTGGTGGAAACGAACGGTGATAAAAAGACAGCAATGATGGAGATCGGAGGTGGCGGTGGTGGAGGGTGATGATGGTGATAGTGGTAGCGGCAACATGGTGTATTGGAGGAAGGTGGAGGTAGAAGGTGGCAATGGCGGCGGCAGTAGAGGGTGGTGGTGGTGGTGGAAGGTGGCGTTGCCCATGGCGGCGATGGAAGGTGGCAATGGAAGGTGGTGGTGGGAGTGGTGGAGGGACGAAGGACCAAGAGAGAATATAAGACAATTTTGTGAATTTATGAAAAATACGTGAACAAATTACTTGTTGGAAATAAATTAACTTCATGACCATCATCTTTTTGAACAACCCTTTATATATAGATGCATCACAAAACGCTACATATTTTTTTTTTACAAGAACTTTTAAAGCTTAAAAAGACTTTTTGAGGCCTGAGGAAGCTCCCCTTATTATATTTATGCGCTGACATGAATTACTGAAAATTTTAAAAACCCATTTTTTTACGGAAGTTATAATGTATGTTACTCAAATTTGCCCACATATAGTTTTTTTTATCCATGGTGCTTTTGGTTCAAATAGTATTCTCATTTATAACCACATTTTTTATATAGAGTTGATGAATTTTTATTTGTTACAAATATTTGGTGATATATATAATTTTAACATATATATTTTGCGTAATGCAGGTTGAGTCAGACTATCTCCCACTGTACAATAATTATGGCATAGGGCTTACCACATGGAGTCCACTTGCATGTGGAGTTCTGACTGGGAAATATAATAAGGGAGACATTCCACCTGATAGTCGGTTTGCATTAGAAGGTTACAAGGTAATGTAGAACCTTACTTTTTTAAACTAAACTTCTGATTGCTTGAGGTTTTTAAAATGACTAAGAATGTAAGAAGTTTGCCTATATGGCACCAAGAATCAAAGAAAGGAGTATACAGAGTTTGGAAGTGAATTCCGCAGAAAGAGAGAACTTGAGTGATTTACAAAAAAAAAAAAAAAAAAAAAAAAAAAAAAAAAAAGCAGAAAAGAAAAGAAAAAAAAAGAAAAAAAAAACTGAATGGCACTAGCTAGGGTTTTATCGCGTGTGCAGTTTGCCACTTACAAAAGTGCCACCGATAGTGAATTTTGCTTCCGGTCCCACTTTTGTAATCCCTGTAGACATGTAGTGGGACATGCAGAATACCGACGGAATTAACACTTAATTGTCTAACGTAATAATTTTTAATTGATTATTTATAATAAATACAATTAAGTAGAAGACTTCAACAATTCACAGTAATTATTCAATGCAAGAATCATTTCTCCTTCTCAAATATCAATCACTCAATGCACCCTTAAGACCACTTCTCAAACCACTTAAAAACTAACAAAAAACAAAATAACAATCTTTTTAGATATTTGAGACCACTTCTCAAACCACTTAAAAACTAATGAAAAACAAAATCAAAATCAAAATCTTTTTAGATTTTCAATTTTTTACTTTTGAAATAAAAACTAGTCTAAGAATGTTTAAATGAAAATTTAGGTTGCACGGAGGAATTAGAATAAAATTTATGACTTTATTCTTCTTATCTTGAGTTCATCATAATATTGTACTTTGAAATTAATAGCTTGACCTTTATTCTCTAACCTTTGTAGATATTATAAAATCTTGCCCTTTTAGGTTGAACTGAATTGTGAACTTATACTTTTCTTGCAGGATGACGCTAAAGAAGCGTTGGCGGAGGATGTTCTGAACAAGGTTAATGGATTAAAACCAATTGCCGACGAACTCGGGGTGCCTTTATCTCAACTTGCCCTTGCTTGGTGTGCAGCAAACCCTAATGTCTCGTCCGTTATTACCGGTGCCACTAAGGAGTCTCAGGTCAGTTTTAAATCAATGCAACACATTTCTTTAAGCTATTTTTGTTATTTTTGTTTTTCCTTTCCGTTGTTAATTAATATCTCCCATTAAAGGCCGAGATTTTTATTTTTATTTTTTTATAATGCAGATTCAAGAGAATATGAAGGCTGTCAATGTCATTCCATTGTTGACACCTCCTGTGATGGAGAAGATTGAGGCTGTCGTTCAAAGCAAACCGAAGGGTCCTGCTTCGTATAGGTAAACAGCACAGGATGTAATTCCATTTTTACCCTGCAGTCTCTGTGGTTTATTTGTACCACAATGCAGGGAGGGACACACTTCTGTGTTTGTCAAATAATGTCTTTGATGGTTATTTATTGTCTGTTTCCTTTGGAGATCTCCAAGTTTTTCATCTTCTTCTTCTTGGGAGGTTGCTACGGTGGCAATGCAGTGATTAATTATTGTCCACAATGGTTGAAGTCAAATGCGGTTTTTGTGCAGCTTTTGGGTCTTTCTAATACATACTTGGAAAAAAGAAAAAAATTTGTAGTTGAAGTCAAATGCGGTTTTTGTATGCTTTTGGGTTTAAAGAAAATCACAATATAACGAAAAATAAAAAATACTTTGTCCATTTGTTGCAAGATATTTTGAAACAAAAATATGAAAATATATTTGAGAAAAAAATGTTTTAAGTTTGAAAAATATAATGATTAGTTTAAAAATGTTTTAAAAAATATTTTTTTATTTTTAACTAGTTCATCGTTGTTGTTACAATGCTAAACCATGTAAAAAACCCATCCAAATTAGTGTTTCAATTTTGGCCACTATTCACCTCAAAATAAAACACTTTTTACCGAACATATTTTTTTCTGTTTTCATTGTACTCTACAAAAACAAAAATACCAAAAACAAAACTCATACCAAACAAGCCCTAAGTAACACTAGTTTAGGCAAAGTTAAAAAATAAAAAAACCTTACCATAAGATGGTAAAATGGATGCTATCATTGAGTTTGGAACGTCCCAAAACCTTAGGATACACCTAGAGTCAAGCTTGTAAAGTGACTCCGATCACTCAATCGAGGAAGAGCAAAATTGTAATTTTGCACTCCTAACTACTTCAAGTTTGATGAAAAGTGGTATAATATGTTCTTCAAATGAAAAATCGACCCTCCTCCTATTGCATTCAAAATGGGTCAAAACCCTATGGCATATGAATGAATGAATATATATCTATGTCTATATTATTATTAAAAGTATAAAGAATTTAAATACATTAATGTGTTTTAATACATTATTTTTTAATAATAAATTTATATGTTCCATATGTATGTTTCCTTTTAGAATAACACACATTAATATAAGGTGTTTAGAAGAGTTTCTATAAAACTCAAATTACTTATTTATTAAGAGTTCTTTTAATAAAATAAAATATAATTAGATAAGAGAATATATAAAGAAAATAAATAATTTAGTAAATAATTTAATCTATTTAGTCTCCACATCTTTTCTAATTTTATAAATAATATAAAAATAAATTTCTAATAAATAAATAATAAAATATTAGTAAATTGTAACAAAAAATAGTTAATTTTGATATTATTTTATGAGTTTGAAAATACACCTATCTATAATTGAATTTTTATTGTAAGGTTCAATTAAAAATTATATTTTAATCTTTTTTACCTTGTGTCAATTTTATGTTAATCGATATTTTAAAATTTATAAATATTTAATTACTTTGTTAAATATTGATTTTAAATTAACTTTTACTCACATGCAATAACAACATTATTTTTTAAAGATAAATCTACATGTTCAACATGTATGTTTCCTTTTAAAATAACACAAATTACCTATTTATTATGAGTTTTTATTTTAAAATTAATATAAGGTGTTTATAAAAATTTCTATAAAACTCAAATTACTTATTTAGAAGAGTTTCTATAAAACTCAAATTACCTATTTATTATTAATTTTTTTAATAAAAGAAAATCTAATTAGATAAGGAAATATATAAAGAAAATAAATAATTTAGTCTTTCTAATTCAACAAGGAAATATATAAGAAAATATAAATAATTTAGTTTATTTAGCCTCCACATTTTTTCTAATTTTATAAATAATTTTCTAATATATAAATAAATAAATATTAGTAAATTGTAATAAAAAATAGTCTTAATCTTGATATTGTTTTAGAAGCTTGAAAATATACCTATCAATAATTGAATTCTATTGTGAGGTTCAATTTAAAATTATATTTTTATCGCTTTTACCTTGTGTCAATTTTATGTTAATGGATATTTCAGAATTTATAATCATTTAATTACTTTGTTAAGTATTGATTTTAAATTAGATTTTACTTACGTGCAATAGTACATTATTTTTTAATAATAAATTTATATGTTCAGTATGTATGTTTTCTTAATTTTATAATAACACAAATTGCCTATTTATTAAAAGTTTAATTTTAAAATTAATATAAGATATTGTTTAGAAAAGTTTCTATAAAACTCAAATTACCTATTTAATATTAATTTTTTAATAAAATAAAATCTAATTAGATAAGAAAATATACAAAGAAAATAAATAACTTAGTCTTTCTAATTCGACAAGGAAATATATAAAAAATATAAATAATTTAGTCTATTTAGACTCCACATCTTTTATAATTTTATAAATAATATAAAAATAATTTTCTAATATATAAATAAATAAAATATTAGTATATTGTAATAAAAAATAGTCTTGATTTTGATATTGTTTTGGGAGTTTGAAATACACTATCAATAATTGAATTCATATTGTAAAGTTTAATTAAAAATTATATTTTTATCTCTTTACCTTGTGTCAATTTTATATTCATGGATATTTTTAAATTTATAATTATTTAATTACTTTGATATTAATTTTAAATTAGATTTTACTCATGTGCAACGCACTTACAGTTTTACTAGTATATATATATATATATATATATATATATATGGGTAAATTGCAGTGATACCCCTAGTTTGTCTAAAAGATATGTAGATACAACTTTGAAAGAGTGTGATCCACTTGCTCTCTCAATTTTGCAAAATTGAGTAATGACACCCCATTTTATAAATAAAGAGCGGAACACAGCCTTAAATATGCCTTGTAATATATTTTCGTCCTCACCTAAAATGACCAAACTACCCTTTTATTTCATTTCTCTTTCATTTTTCTTTCAATCCTCGTGGCCACACAAAAGCTAAACACAGCTTTACTCTCTCTCTATTTCAACCCACTCATCTCATCTCTCTCATGGCTCAATGTCGTCTGATGGAAGAGCAGTGGTACTGCCAAGCCCGTAGGTGAAGATGTGGTGGTCGGGTGGTGGCGGCGATGGTGAGGGATTTGTTGGCCGACGTCCCCAACGGCGAGCCGGCTTAGGGAATCACCGATTAGCTCCCTATTCGAGGCGTCAGCGCATCGAGGACATCTCGATCTCTACTATCGTTGAAGAGAAGAAGTCGTTGCCATTGGATGAGCCTCGGAGGTCAACGGCTATGGACTGACGAGGATGAGATCGAGCTGTTGCAAGGGTTTCTCGATCACAATACGATTCACAGTCCTCATCACCAGAACTGTAAAATAGCAAATTGTCGCCAGAATCGTAACTGATTCACAGTCCTCATCGCCGGTTTGAAGAAGGTTGAGTTGTCGTATTTTGCAAAGAGAGCAAGAGATCACTATTCATATATAACATATTGTATATATGTATGTGTGTATATATAAAAATTAAATACATTTAGATCATAGTGTACAATAATATGATAGTCTATCATGCATACTAACAAAACCCAACATATGCATACAACCTACTTGATTCCCAGGTTCATTTGGTTAGCGTGAAGTAGGTAGAAAGAAAAAGAAAATGATTTTTTTTTTTGGAAGTTTGGTTACATAGAAAGAGAGAATTTTGAGGAAAGTGAATTCTCGCATCTTATAAATTTTTTAAAATACTTTTCCGCATAAATCACAATTTTTTTTTTTACTTTCTTGCTCAAAATTGTCATTTTATTTCCAAATTTCTTATTATACTCCAATTGAGTTGTTTCTCCATTTTTTTTCACACGGGTTATTAAGTTCTGCTACATCTATTTACTGGGATACATAATTTGAATTCATCATATCCAATATTGTCATTACCTAAATTTTTTTAAAATAAATTAAGAATTGAATACCTCAATAGATATACGAGAAGAGATGAATTGGAGTCATCATATTATCTATATGACATAACCATCTCACATGGATGGAAGTCAATATAATATTTATTTTTTATTATTTATACATATTTGAAATTGAATAGAGTTTTATACTCGAATCATAAAATTTTAAATTATGCATGAAACAAAAAATTATTATGCATTAACTATAGAATATGTTACTTTTGCATAACAATTTTTATCCTAGAGTGTTGTCATTTTGTGTTTCTTCGAGGGACTTGCAAAAAAGATATATTTAATACTCCAATAAAAACATGAGTATGTTATAATAAATGAACTACATTCCACATACAACAGGTTTGCAGCAGGGGTACTCTAAAGGGTCATTTCGGCCGATCGAAATGGCAATTCGGTTGACCGGTATCTATTTGGACCAATTCCAGTAGCCACCTCCATATTATAGTCACAACCGGTAGACTGGTAGAACTGTTTCGGTCGACTGGTTTGTTGGCCCTCATTTTTTCTTGTTTCTTTTTTTGGTAAAACCATTCTTAAGTCAAAGGAAGTTGCCTTGGATCATTATATAACTTAAAATGACGTAATAATGATGCAATGACCTTGGATATGATGGTATTGACTTAGATGACCTCGGGTTCGGGTAAGGACTCAGTTAGCGATTCGGATCCCCGGGTTCAGGTCGTTATAGTAACGACGATTGGCGAGTTGGTTCAATTATTCAAGGTTAAACTCTTCGAATCGATTTTCCAAAATTTGACGTTACTAATCCTCAAGGTTGGATGTTTCAAGCTAAACAATTTAAAAAACTTAATAGTATTTTAGAGGCGTAGATGGTTCCATTGGCTGCAGTGCATCTTCAAGGAGATGTTATTTCGTGGTATTGTTGGATTAAACAGTCTTTCAATAATCTAACTTGGCAGCAATTTTCTCTTGGAATATGTACTCATTTTGGGTCTCGACAACACATTGATCCTTACAGACTTGTAGTTCACTTGCCAAACTATCTCATACTGGCACGGTTTGCGAATTCATTACTGAATTTGAGCTACTTGTTAATATGGTTCCAGGTATATTTTAGTCACATCAAGTCAGTATTTTCCTTTCTGGATTTCGTGCAG